GACGCTTCTTATAGGGCTAGAGCATCATCCCCACTCTCTATCCACCATCCCTACGTAATAATAGAACCTGGTAGCAACACGAAATCTTAAAAATATGGCATCATCCCCACTCTCTATCCACCATCCCTACATAATAATAGAAACTGGTAGCAATACGAAATCTTAAAAATACTTTCTTAGTATTTAATCTCGACACTTTGAAAAACTTTATAGTTTTCTAGTACGTATGATTGTGTTAAGTTATGGATCCCCGCTGAGTTCACCCGTGGTCGGCCATTGTGGCAGGACCTAGTTCATGCGGAAAAAGCTATTTCGTTAAAAACTTTATAAATTACATCGAGGATATGAGCGATGTTAAATTTTCTAGAATTATCTGGTATTATTCCGAATCACAGCCTCTCTATCGTTCGAAGGAATTGGAGAGTGTTGAGTTTCAGGGGGTTACCTTCTTGTTCAGACTTTACCGGAGAACATCCCATACTAATAATTATAGACAACATGATGCGGGAATCTAATAAGCAGATACTTGATATTTTTATAAAAGGTTGTCATCATAAAAACTTAAGCGTATTCTTCATTACTCAAAATATTTTTCATATGAGCAGATAGTTGATATTTTTACAAAAGGTTGTCATCATAAAAACTTAAGTGTATACTTCATTAATCAAAATATTTTTCACCAGGGACGAGGTCAGCGTGATATATCTTTAAACGCTAACTATATTGTCCTTTTTAAAAACCCACGAGACCGAGCACAGATTCAACATCTTGCACGTCAGGTGTATCCAACCAATCCCAGATTTCTTCAGGATGCTTATTACGACGCGACACTGATACCTCACGGCTACTTACTTCTGGATCTCAAACAGACCACACCTGAAAATTGTCGAGAGCGAACGTGTTTATTTCCAAACGATCCAGCACACATCGTTTACGTTCCTAAGGAGCATAAAACAAACGGTACTCGTCGACGTTAAACTACTAGCCTGAGATGCGCTGCGAAAAACACATCCACACGCTGCAGGCTCTGTGTAAATTAGCACCGGAACATCGGCGTGCTGTACTCAAAGTAGCAGATTCAAAGTTGGTTCATGTTATCTGTGAATGCGCTGTTAATCTCCTACACGGTGGGGTACCACTTACTTCCGAAGAGAAAAAACTTTTGCCTAAACATAAAAAAATTCTTCGTAAACTGGCATGTAACAAGGGTAACTGGAACGGAAAGAAGAAATTATTCATTCAAAAAGGATCAGGCTTCTTGCCTTTATTGTGAGGACCTTTATTATCGATTCTTGCCTCAAAAGTATTTGGAGTAAATAATTTAAAGATGGCACATGCTAAGAAGATGGTTTTGATCCTGCATGAAACTGTGGAGAATTTGCAGCGGGGACCGCTCCCGAAAGAACGCGATCATTTCCTTGAAATAGACCGAGACATGGATGAAATATTACAATCCAAACTGCAAGCCGACGAAAAGTGGAAACGTTACAATCAGATTCTACAGCGATATTTATTTTTTGCTAAAAATTCGAGAAAACGATAGCACTCCCCATAGTGGATAATGCGGAATCGCCAGCGCGAATAGTACCAACAATAACCAGCAACGAGGAGGAACAGGAACCCCTGAAAGACGATCTAGTAGCTAATGTTATCGAGAGTGTACCTCAAAAATTTCGACGTAAGGCTGAACTTTTGATTAAACATTTGCTCTCTCGCAGTCTTGTATCGTGGAAGCCAAATTGGAAAGTATTTATAGATGGTACCGAGGTACCCAAGGAGTATATTATTGATTTAGTTAACGATGTTATGAGAAGTAGAAAGAACTCTAACCCAATCGGATGGGAGCAGTTTGTCGAAGTATGCCATAAAGGTAACATACCGCATGAGTTTATAGGAAATTCAAAGATATTGAATTATATTCGCATGAATAAATAGCTCGATGTGTCGGAAATTAAACAAATTGAGCGCAGTGATTCGGATGCGGGGATAAAATCTTCTCAGAGTAGTACACCTCAGTGGCATCAGAGTTTGAGAAAAAACAGTCATCTACACCCGCTAGCACTGAGAGACCATCACAATCATCATCTCCAGATCGAACACTCGGTCGAGCTCTTGCAAGATCATCATCACGGGGCTTCGAAGGGAAGTGGAAGTATCGTACAACACTATTAGTAACACCACGCGAAATTACATAACGAAAATATAGCCCCAACTACGAAACATGGAAGACTTAGAAACTAATGCAAAGGAAATGATTGAACAAGTGTATTATAACGCTGCACATCCTGCAGGTTATGGTGGAAGTGTAAAATTGAAAAAATTTTTTAATAAAAAAGTCAAAACAAAACATATTGATCATTGGTTAAAAACAACTGACGCTTACACCCTCCATAAACCCATCCGCAGAAAATTTTCCAGAAGTCATTACGATGTAACGAACATCGATGATTTATGGCAAGCAGATCTAATTATTTTACAATCCCTTAAAAGTTTAAATGATGATTACACTTGTCTTTTGACAGTCGTTGACACTCTTAGTAAGTACGCATGAGTAGTTCCGCTAAAAGATAAAATAAATAACTCTATAATCGCAGAAGACCTTGAAACTAATGCAAAGGAAATGATTGAACAAGTGTATTATAACGCTGCACATCCTGCAGGTTATGGTGGAAGTGTAAAATTGAAAAAATTTTTTAATAAAAAAGTCAAAACAAAACATATTGATCATTGGTTAAAAACAACTGACGCTTACACCCTCCATAAACCCATCCGCAGAAAATTTTCTAGAAGTCATTACGATGTAACGAACATCGATGATTTATGGCAAGCAGATCTAATTATTTTACAATCCCTTAAAAGTTTAAATGATGATTACACTTGTCTTTTGACAGTCGTTGACGCTCTTAGTAAGTACGCATGGGTAGTTCCGCTAAAAGACAAAACAAATAACTCTATAATCGCAGCATTTAAACATATTTTTGAGGATAGTGAACGCAAGCCTGAAAATCTGCAGACCGATAAGGGAAAAGAATTTGTCGGACAGAAGTTTCAGAAATTTTTAGAAAATGAAAATGTATATTTTCATATTACACAGAATCCTGACGCGAAAGCGAGTTTAGTTGAACGTTTTAATAGAACTCTTATGGAAAAACTATACAGATATTTCACAAACAAAAATAGTCAACGATATATCGACGTAATTCAAGACTTGGTTAAGGGCGACAACGCATCTATCCATCTAATAAGGGAAAAGAATTTGTCGGACAGAAGTTTCAGAAATTTTTAGAAAATGAAAATGTATATTTTTATACTACACAGAATCCTGACGCGAAAGCGAGTTTAGTTGAACGTTTTAATAGAACTCTTATGGAAAAACTATACAGATATTTCACGCACAAAAATAGTCAACGATATATCGACGTAATTCAAGACTTGGTTAAGGGCTACAACGCATCTATCCATTCAACGATACGTATGAGGCCGAGAGATGTTAATTTGTACAATGCAGTCAAAGCTTATAAGAATATGACGAGTAAATTTTTAACTCATGATTTGCGTCCTAAATTTAACGTTAGTGATACCGTAAGAGTTTCTAAAGAAAAAGGAATATTCGATAAGGGTTATAAAAGCAACTGGACTGAGGAAATATTCAAAGTGGTGCGCATACTTAAACATCGACGGCCTATTGTATACGGATTGGAGGATCTTGCCGGTGAAACAATTACCGGTAGTTATTACGCTGAAGAATTACAAAAGGTAATAATAGGGGAGGACGACATATTCCTTATAGATAAAATCGTTGACGCAAAGGGGAAAGGTCGTAGTCGACAAGTGTTAGTCAAGTGGAAGGGGTATCCCTCAAAGTTCAATTCTTGGATTGTAGCCGATAGCATAGAAACATGGAAGTAAATGAAAGTTTCTATTTAACACTATGTTCGAACAGTTCAACGTCTTATTATCTAGAAAACACAACAACACAATTCACTACACAATTGCCTGATGCCATTAATTTGAAAGACGAATGGGAAGCAGCTCTAGTTGAAATTCAAATACCGATAACTTTCATTGCTATCAAAAATAGTCATATAGGTCACACCGATGTGACGCCAGCGGTAAAAGAGCCTCAAAATGCCTGATAATATTAAGACTCAGAAGGGAAGTTTTCAAAAAGGTGATGAACTTAAGAAAATGGCGCATTCTCAAACAGAAAACACTGCTAAGAGCGGTGGTATTAGGAAAAACGTTAGTGTCCTCAATCGAAGATCGGTGAAAATTCACGTGTTGATAGAAAAGGATTTTGATTTACTTGAACACACGGTCAATAAGTATTAACTTTATTTTCGTACAAAACTGGCGACAAACTAACAGTAGGAACGCCACGACTGCGTGTCCACCACTAACTACAACGACGCAGAACAGCGCCCTCTTACCGAGTACGGTCGTTGCCGAAAATAACACTTTTATGGGCCTAAACCATCTCGTAATGATAAAAACAAATATAATGAGAAGGATAAACATAATATCAGAACATGTTATAAGCTCACAAACATACCGCGCGCCTTGATAACAGTTGGTTATCAACTCTCGCAATGTATTTATGATAAACTATGGATACTGATTGATCGGTAAAGTAAACAAACATATGACAAATACAAAACTTGAATAATCCTCTCTTTTTTTAATTTTTCGCGATCAAGCGTATAAATGTAATGAAAATCTTGTTAAATTTCTACATCGTCTGCAGAAGCCTCTATAGGCAAAATACATAATTTCGACGCTGGCTTTTTGAAGACTCCTTTAGCCGTTTTTATAACAGCTGCTCTGATGATCTCGTCGCTTCCTGGACAGAGTTCTTGAACTCGTCCGAGTGCCCATTTTAAGGGCGGTAGTCCATCTTCTCGACATACTACTAACTGTCCGATTCGGAGTTGAGCACCATGATTCTTCTGCCATTTTGAGCGTTGCTGAAGTTGCAATAAATATTCTGTTGACCAGCGTCTTCAGAAATGCTGGCGAATTTCCTCCACGTGCTGCCATCTTGACAGTTGATTTATTTTGAGATGAGCGAGTCCTGGCTCTGGATAAGACGTTATTGCGCTGCCGATCAAAAAATGCCCAGCCGTTAGATAACTCATATCGTTTGGATTTGAGGACATCGCTGTCATCGGTCTCGAATTAAGAATTGCCTCAATTTGAATGGCGAGTGTCGATGCTTCTTCAAACGTTAATGACGCGTCCGAGGCCACCTTGTAAAACTGGGTTTTAAAGGATTTAACCGCCGCCTTCCAAAGTCCGCCGAAGTGCGGGGCTCGTGATGGTATAAAGTGCCATCTGATTCGGTCCATTGCATTATTATCGATGATTTTGCTCCTATGTTCTTCTTGCGCGAAAAGAACTCTCAGTTCCTCCAATTCACGATTTGCTCCCACGAAATTTGTGCCATTGTCGGAGAATACATCGGCTGGTTTTCCTTGACGACCGATGAAGCACTTGAAAGCGTTAAGAAATGTTTCTGTTGTCATATCCGATACTACTTCCAAATGTACAGCTTTTGTGGCCATGCAGACGAAGACTGCGACGTAGACTTTGATACGTTTACTGTTTCGTCGTTTACCATCTCGTACGTATAGAGGCCCACAAAAATCGACTCCGGTGCTGCTAAATGGCTTAGATGGAATTACTCGATGAATTGGGAGATTACCCATAATTTGCTCCGAAATCCGAGGTCTCGATTTAAAGCAGATGACGCACTTGTGGATTATTCGTTTGATGGTACTGCGCGCCCTGGGCGGCCAGTACGACTGGCGCACTGCAGCCAGCGTTGCACCAACTCCCGCGTGTAGAATTCTACGATGCTCGTGTTCGATGATGAGATCCGTGAACCTGGAACGATGTGGCAATACAATGAGATGTTTTGCATCATGCTGGAGATGCGAGTTTTGCAGTCTGCCACCAACACGCAACAGACCGTCATCGCTGATGAATGGATTTATGCTTTTCAACCTGCTTTTCTTTGAAATCTCCCCTCCTTCTCGTAGAGCACCCAATTCCTTGAAGAAGGCAGAGCGTTGTTCTTTTTTTATAATGCACTTTCTAGCATGCTCCAACTCTTCTGACGACAACGGTCCTGAAAGTTTCTGTTCGGATTCTTGTTTGCACGCTCGAGCGAATCGAATACACCTTGCCACAACTCGCACGAGCTTGTTGAACATTGAAAATTTAGCGAATGGATCGATGCCGTTTTGAATCGGCATCGCGATTAGGACTGGCTTGATAACCTCGTATATCTCGTTCTCGTCAACTTTTTGTATTTCTGATTGAGTCTTGTCATCATCTTGCAGCCATCGAGGTCCGTTCCACCACAACTCAGAACCTTTCAAATCGTTCGGAGTAACACCTCGAGATAGTAAATCTGCAGGGTTCTCCTTCGTTCCGACGTGATTCCACTCGTTAATCGAAGTCATTTTTTGAATCTCGCCTATTCGATGAGCAACGAACACGGGCAATTTCTTGTTCCGCGCTTGGATCTAATGTAAAACTATTGATGAATCTGTCCAATAATACGTGGAAGTGATCACCACCTCCAATGCCTTTTTCACTTTACTCATTAGGTGAGTGAGCAACTATGCTCCGCACAACTCCAATCTCGGGATTCATATCGTTTTTAAAGGCGCAACGCGCGATTTCGAGCACAATAAGTGTACCTGGAGAAACTCGCTAGAATGACTACTACGCATGAAGACGCAAGCTCCATAAGCGCGCTCACTCGCATCGTAGAATCCATGAATGAATCTCAGTGTGAATATCTGATGGCAGAGATTCGTCCCAATCGATTTGGAGTTTCCAAAGTTTCTGAATTAGAATTTTTGCGATCAATATTGCGGGTCTCAGCAATCCGAGAGGATCCAATATCTGTGCGATACCGGATAAGATCGATCTCTTCGTGTGTAAGCTCGTCCTCGATAATTCTATCGAGATTGCGTATTGCAATACGTCCTTCGTAGGATTCCATTTGACTCCTAGAGTTTTCGACGTGCCATCTTTGTCCAATTCTAGAATAGCACATGTAGTAGATGATCCTGTTGCATCTTCCAGTAGGTCCCTATTATTTGAAGCCCACTGTCGCAGCATAAGCCTTCCCTTTTGGAGCAAGGCTGTTGTTTGATTACGAATTATCAACGCATCCTCTTTAGAGTTCGCGCCTGTTATTAAATCGTCGACATCAAAATCCCTGCGCGTCACCAACGCTCCTATGGAAAATTCTTTCTCCTCCAAATAGGCTAATTGCTGAATGACCTTGGTTGCTAAGATTGAAGCTGGTGCCGTTCCATAGGTCAGTGTCAACAACTCGTAAGTTTGGATATCATCAGTTATTTGGTCACGGCAAACAATTCGTTGAAGAGGCACTTGTGTCTCGTCCACCAGTATTTGCCGATACATTTTTGCAATGTCAGCGGTCAACGCGTATTCAAAGCTCCGAAATCGGAGTAGAATTGAAAACAAATCCTCTTGAAGAACGGGACCGACGAACATGGCGTCGTTGAGCGAGACGCCGCTCGTTGTCTTACTAGACGCGTCGAATACTACTCTCAACCTTGTTGTCGTACTGGTCTCCTTTATTACGCAGTGATGCGGCAAGTAAAAATGTGGCTGTATGTCCCATGATGGACGATCGTTGCACAACACTCTCATGTGACCCAATTTCAAGTACTCGTGTATAAAATCGCTATATTCTTTTTTGAGCTGAGGTCTTCGCTCCAATTTGCGCTCTAGCATCGTCAATCGCTGCAGAGCTGTGTTTCTTGATTCTCCCAGATTTTGAAGTTGCTTGTTCCTCGTTGGTAGCGTTACGATGAATCGACTTTCCGAATTGCGGTTGTCTGTCTGGGCAAAATGTCCCTCGCAGAAACGTTCCTCCGAAGTTCGAGTATTTTGGCGCTCGCTATGCTCAATTTGCCGGAATCGCGAGAGGTTAGAGCTGAGCTTCTCATTGACTGCCAAATGGCATGCTGTACCTTTTCTCGGAGACATCTTCATGGCAAACATTCCGGAGGCAATTCAGCCGAGTACCGTTTTCTGCCATATCGGTTGATCCTCTGCAAGTTTGATTTTTCCAATGCACAATAATTCGAAGAATATTTCCGCGCCAATAAGCAAATCTACAGCTGACGGCTGATTAAATTCAGGATCCGCCAATGTAATGCCATCCAGAATTTGCAATTCCTCGACATTGAGTTGGCTGGCCGGGAGAAACTGCGTAATCTTGTCAATTACGAGACAGTCGAGCCTGGCTTGGTATCCGTTAATCCTTGATTGTATAGTTATTTTTGCTAACTTACGAGTCTGCATCGATAATTCTCCCAGGCCAGAGATCGGAATGTGCGTACCAAATTGTTTGAGTTCGAGTTTTTCTACGCAATTCGTCGTAATGAAACAGGATTGCGACCCACAATCCAATAAGGCTCAACACGGTCTTGGATTACCCTTGGAGTCTACAACATTGACGACCGCTGTTGCGAGAAGCACCTGCCCTTCTCGACGAGCTGCTGCAAGACTCACACTCCCCGTCGGTGCCTTTTCAGAATTCGTACCTGCTGTAGTCGCTGGTGTGGATTCAAATTGTTTTTTCGTAGTTTGCTCAAAATGCAGCAACATATTATGACTCTTGCCGCACTTTCGACACGTTCCCGATCCGCACTGTTTCGCCTGATGAGATGCAGCTTTCAAACAATTTAGGCACAGCTTACGCGTTTTCGCCTCCTTTATCCGCTGCTCCACTTTAAGTTGCGCGAGAATGACTGAAAAATAAATAAATAGGACTTATCAGGTCGGACAGTGGGTTCAGTAGCACAGTGGTAAGTGCTCGACTTGGCAGTCCGAAGGTATCGGGTTCGAATCCCGATCAGAACTCCTAATTTTTCGGAAATTCCTAGCTCTCTAGTGCTCCCTGGCGGCTCTATGGATCAAAAATTAATTATAGCGGGGACGAGCCGAGCCGGGCACCCCGTTATAAATGGCGCCCAACGTGGGGCCCGATCGAGGCCCAGGTACCGACTTGGCGATGAGGTGACCAGCACGGCCTCTCCGGAGTGTGTGGATAGAGTTAGGAGCGGCCGTTGGGTAGGCAGATAGCGTTGAGGTTGAGGCTTCCCTCCGTATCTGGTCCCTCGCCCTACTTGCAACCGCCGCCGCTTGAAGACCACGCCGGAGGGCACCGACTGGAGCATCGCCTGGGCTTGACGTCGCCTAACGTCATAAGAGGGTACCAGCGAGATAGGGGCGGGTGGGCCAAGCAAATTCCGAGCAGCAGGGATTGCGCTCGATGGGATGCTTCGCACCCGCATCTCGCGTTTAAGGGCGGGGGAGTTGTAACGTGGCGTTACAGAGTTGGAGGGGATACCACCTAGGAATGACCGAAAAATAAATAAATAGGACTTATCAGGTCGGACAGTGGGTTCAGTAGCACAGTGGTAAGTGCTCGACTTGGCAGTCCGAAGGTATCGGGTTCGAATCCCGATCAGAACTCCTAATTTTTCGGAAATTCCTAGCTCTCTAGTGCTCCCTGGCGGCTCTATGGATCAAAAATTAATTATAGCGGGGACGAGCCGAGCCGGGCACCCCGTTATACTGTATATCGGGTGGTCTTTTTCACAGAATGCGCACATTACGTTTGTCGTGGCTACGTGCACCTTTGTACTCTTGCCTTGATCAGATTTTCCTTCATTCGTAGTGTTTGATGGACCCTTTTGTGTGCGTGAGGACGCTTCCAACGCACGACAACGTTGAGCTAAAAAATCTGTTAACTCAGTAAACTTTGGTATTTCACCCTTTTTTTATTGAAGTTTCCCACTCTTTACTCGTAATTGGATCTAATCGGCTAGTAACGAGATAAATCATAATATCATCCCACTGATAGGTAGGTCGTTTCAGAGTTTTGAGGGCTCGCATATGTTTCAATACAGTGTCCAGCATGTGTTGCAGAGCTACGTGATTTTCTCGGATTGAAACAGGCTGCTCGAATAAAGCTCTGAGGTGCTTCTGAATTATTAGAGTATCGTCATCGTATCTTTCTTTGAGCATTTTCCAAGCTTCAGGATAATTTTCATCTGATGCTTCAAGAGAGCTGACAACATCGTGTGCTTCGCCTCTCAATACAAATAGAAGATATTGCATCTTTTGAACACTCGGAAGCGTGGGATTTTTGTCAATCATGCTTAGAAAAATATTGCGAAACGGAATCCATTCTTAGTATTTTCCAGAAAACGTTGGCATGGTAACTCGAGGTAATTTTAAATGATCATTTACCGTGCTACTGCCCTGTGCAGATGTGGTTCCTGCTCCTGAATTCCGAGAGTTTGAATGATTTTGCGAATCTTGAATTACCTGCATTTCCTCCCTTTTTCTCTGGATTAATGTTTCTAAATCGACTGTTACTGAAAAATAACGTGCTTCGAACATATCTCTCTCTTCTTGATGAGCTGTGTCACATTCTTCGGCGTTTTCGATCGCTTCAATACCCGATTGTGCCTCATTAAAACCTTCCCAAAGACCGACGAATTTTTGTAATCGTGGCCGTAACTCGATAAGTGGCGTTTCTTGCACGTTCAACTCGGTTAAATATTTACGAAATCTCGTACATGTTGCTTTGATTATCGTGCGATTCGATTTCAATTTTTTAAGCAGTGCAACTTGCTCGGCCATGTTGCTTGTCAAACATAAAACGCTTACACTATTATTGTTCATTTTTTGTTGAAATATTCCTTGCGATAGACGTATCTGACTCGTACACCGCCACTCGCGTACCTCGATGGAGCAGTGGGTATCCGTCTCGGCTAACTCGCTTCTGATTCGCACGTTACAAAATGGCGGCAACTCGTGTTACAATAATCACAAATGCCTGATCACTATCGATTGACTCGCGAGACGAATGTTCATCCTCGAATATTTGCTGATGCAACTCGTTGTCAAAACTCGACACACTGATCACGATACACGCACGAGCAATTGCTGACGCAACTCTATGTCGATGCTCGATGTACCGGTCACGCACACGCTGTATTATCTCGACGTCACAACAGGGGAGACGCTAGCGAGAACACTGTGTCTTTTTGTTCCGGTTAATCCGGCTCGAAGGACCAATATGTTAGTGTCCTCAATCGAGGACCTGTGAAAATTGACGTGTTGATAGAAAAGGTTTTTGATTTACTTGAAGACACGGTCAATAAGTATTAACTTTATTTTCGTACAAAACTGGCGTTGAACTAACAGTACGAACGCCACTACTGCGTGTCCACCACTAACTACAACGACGCAGAACAGCGCCCTCTTACCGAGTACGGCCGTTGCCGAAAATAACACTTTTATGGGCCTAAAACATCTCGTAATGATAAAAACAAATATAATGAGAAGGATATCAGAACATAATATCAGAACATGTTATAAGCTCACAAACAAAAAATATCAC